TACTGAAGGGTCCTAGGTTCGATTCTGGCCAAGGGCACATGCCTGGGTTGCGGGCCCCATCACCAGTGAAAGATGTGCAGGAGGCAGCTGATCAATGATTCTCTCTCATCACTGATGTTTCTATCTCTCTTTCCCTCTCCTTTCCTCTCTGAAATTAATAAAAATATATATTTTTAAAAAGAATTTTTACTTCTATGTTCATAAGGGATATCAGTCTGTTGTTTTTCTTTAAAAAAAATTAAAATTTTAATTAAAAATAAAACTCCACAAATAAAACACCAGGCCAAGATGTTTCAACCTATAAATTCTAAAAAACATTTAAGAAAGAAATGATATCAATTATATACAAACTTATCCATAAACTGAAGGAAATACTACTCATAGAAGGACAGCATTGTACTGACAGAAGAAAAAAAAATACTATTAACTGATATTTCTAATGTAAATATTTTTAACAAAATTTTAGCAAATTGTACTCAACAATATGTGTGTGTGTGTGTGTGTGTGTGTGTGTGTGTAAAATAAAATATCATGACCAAGTGAGATTTATCCCAAGAAAGCAAGGTCATTTAACATTTAAAAATTAATGTGTTTTGCCGAAACTGGTTTGGCTCAGTGGATATAGCGTCGGTCTGCGGACTGAAAGGTCCCATATTCGATTCCGGTCAGGGGCATGTACCTTGGTTGCAGACACATCCCCAGTGAGGGTTGTGCAAGAGGCAGCTGACCGATGACTCTCTCTCATCGATGTTTCTAACTATCTCTCTTCCTTCCTCTCTGTAAAAAAATCAATAAAATATATATTTTTTAAATTAATCTGTTTCACTAAATGAACAGATTTTTTAAAAATAAAATAAAACCCCAAATAAGCATCTCGATTGATACAAAAAAAGCATTTGACAAAATTCATAATCTATTTCTAATAAAAACCTTTAGCTAACTAGAAATAGAAAGGTACTCCTCAACCTGATAAATACTATCTACAAAAAAACAAACAATAGCTAATATCATGCTTTCCTCCTAAGATCAGCAATAAGGCAAGAATGTCTGTTCTCATCGCTTCTATTCAGCATTGTACTAATAAAGGTTCTAGCAAGCGTTAATAAGGCAAGAAAAAGAAATAAAAGAAATCAAGAAGAAAGGAAAAAGTAGAACTGTATTCACAATTATGTAGAAAATAAAATACTATGGTTTCTATAAAAAAAGTTACTGGAATGAGTTTAGCAAAATTATCTATATTATAAAAACACAGTGGCCCTAACGCTGTAACACCAAAGACCAGCCCGGGAGGGTGGGGCTGCCGCACAGGTGGTCAGGGATGCATGATTTCGTGTGCTGGACTTCTAGTAGAATATAAAATTAATATACAAAAATCAATTGTATTTTATATATATTAAAAATAAACAATTGAACATAGTTTTTAAAAATACAATTTATAATTTGATCAAAAATATAGATGTACTAGTACATTTAACAAAATTATGTGCAAAATCTATATACTGATCATTTTAAAACATTGCTGAAACTAAAGATTTAAATAAATGGAGAAATATATTGTGTTCGTGTAATAAATGAGGTAATACCAGAAGAGAGGAATGGAGAGTGGGAAGTGAAAGAATAACCTAGAATTTAGTTAATTATCCTATCTAATAAAGAGGGAATATAATATGCTAATTGACCCTCATGCTATCACAGTGTAAGGGTCAATTAGCATATTCTGGGTGCCCACAGCCAATATGGAGGAAATATACTAGATGACTGTCCCGCCTTCAAAGATGGTGGCACCTACAGCCAATAAGGAGGGAATATGCTAATTGTTGTCCTGCCCTCAAAGATGGAGGTGCCCACAGCCACAAGATGGCGGCATCCAGTCTCCTCAACCCCACCAGGGTGGCAGGCGAACAGCATAGCTGGGCCTGACCCCAGGTGGGTTAGGCCACTCTGCATACCTGCCTCCAGAGTCCCCAGTCCCCTCAGTCTCCCAGACACCCAGGGCCGGCCCAAGGCACAGGCAAGCCTCAGATGTCAGCTGCCCAGCAGCCCACAGCCACCTGAGGCTCAGGTAACCAGGACCAGCCAAGGCTTGTGCTGCCAGCAGTGGCAACAGCAGAAGTGTGATGGGGCATTGCCTTCCCCTGATCGCCAGGTCGCCTCCCAACCCTGAGGGAGAGATTGGTCAGGCCAAACTGAGGGACCCCCCACTTCCAGTGCATGAATTTTTATGCACTGGGCCTCTAGTGTATTTATATCATATAAAAACAATATCAAGAATAAAGGGTTACACAAACTTTATGAATTATTACTCCACAGTCTCTCAAAAGTGAAAGAGAATTGTCTACAAGAAATACTCTGAAAAAGACAATACAAAAGAAGACACTAAGAAGAAAGTGGGAGGATAAAGTAAGATGTGATGTTTGCCTTTGTAAAACAAGGAAGAATGAACATAAGAGCAATAGGAGCAACAATGGAGATTTATAGGGAGACTTCATAGAAGCCTTTGAAACAAAATGAGGCTTTGTTGGAACAAGCCTTGAAATACAAGGATACAAGCTTTACAAATTGACTATGACAAAACTTTAAAGCAGTCAAGATAGGCTTAAGGAAGGAATATTATATTAATACTTTAAAGAATAAGAGATTTTGCTTTGTAAAAAAATCACAAAACTAAAAACTATTACCAACTTAAAAGTAAGCAAATGATGCCAACATTATAACTATTAGTAAATAAAATTTAGGTTCTAGAAAAATTAGTATTACAAATCAAGTAATTTTTTTGGCTTTCTCATAGAAGTTATTTGTTTACTTGTACTAACAACATTCAATCATTATCATAACAAAATAAACATTAATGCAGACACTTAAGTGTTAACTCCTATAAAATTTTCAACTTGAATAAGCATGCCAAATGAGATTCAGAAAGCATTTAAGCCAACTTAACTTTTGCTGTAATATTTTACTTCTACATGTTTAAAATGAAAATGTCCATAATGGAATCTGAATATATAAAACAACAGATTTCATAAATATATCTTAAAATCCTTACATACTTAGTAACTTTTAAAATAATGCATATTCATCTTCATATTATTAAGGATAACAACAATTAATACAAACATCAAGTGCAATCATTGTAGGAATACTGGTCATTTTTACATAGCTTGGCAAATTATCAAGTACCTGCTGCTTATTAATTTTCCAACATATGGGTGCACTGTGGTAATACACATTAAATTGATTCTCTTCCACAAATATGGCATAATGAAAAAATGAATTATTAATCTTCTCTATAAGAAATCACTTAACTCATTCATATTTTTGGCAATGTTCAACATAAATAATACAGTCTTTTACACAGAAGCTAATTTAAAACTTTGGTAAAATGTTATATTGACATGATCATGAAATTTAGGCCATTATTCCTGCTAACCCTATTCTGAAATTTGCAATACAGTTTTTACTTTATATAAGTTGCTAAACTTATATTTCTTTAAAACTAGTTAAATATACAACTGTATATAATACATGCATTCTCACCAAAATAGTTATTTCATTAAACAACTAAGAACTTTACACATTATGGGTATCTCAAATCAGTCAGATAACAATTGAAAGATAAATAATTTTCAATCAATTTCATTTTTCTCAATTTCACAAAATATATGGCTACCTTAAGGAACATAATTATATGTCAAGTTTAAAAGTATTTTTTCAATAACTGTTTTGAAAAATGTTTGTATATATTTCATTTATAGCCAGATTTCTTAATGTTTATAAATTAACAGTTTTCTAGTTTTCTAAAATGTTATGCTGCTTTTTTTTGAAGGAAGAACAGGAAAAACTATCTACTGTAATATTAACATTTAGATTGCTTATTGATTTTATTACATAAGTGTCCTGAATACCTGATATCAACTACTGAATAGCCTCAAAAATCATTATAAATTATGCTAGCAATTAGTCATAAAAATACCAAAATAATCTAAATTAGAATTAAATAAACTAAAATAGTATAATTTACAATCAAAGTCAAGAACCTGACATGAAAATCTACATAAACTAATGTGACTTGCTAAAGCAATGAACTTTCAAGCCCCAATCACACCCCAAAATAAAATTGCAGGGTAATATAATACGTTACACTCCCAAAATGGGATCTTCCCTAGTGATCCTCCACACTAAAAAAGGAGAATCTGCTCGATCAGTGTGGCTCAGTGATTGAGCATCAACCTATGAAACGGGGTCAAGGTTCAATTCCCATCAGGACACATGCCAGCTTGCAGACTCATTCCCCAGTAGAGGGTGTGCAGGAGGCAGCCAATCGTTGCATTGATTTTTCTCTCAACATCAATGTTTCTATCTCTCTCTTCTGCTCCCTTCCTCTCTGAGTCAATAAAAACATATTTTTTTTAAAAAAAGAGAGAATCCAAAGGAATGAAATAACAGTAAAGAAAATATGCTAATTTAATGGGACTTTATACTAAAGTGTCTGTCACAAAATACTAAGGTTCTTTGGCTTAAAAAAAGAATACTTTAATACCAGTCCATATTAACAATAGTGGTATTGTACACAATAATGGAATATTCTTCCTGAAATATGTTAATTGTCCTGTTTAAAAATATATGTGAAGGGTATGGCAAATCTATAAATATATTCCAAAAGTGTTCTCTTCTATCCCCATTTTAAATAAATCTGGAGCCATTCTAAAGGTGAATATAAAAAGATATGCTATACTGTTGACTACAGAATACTACAAAGTTTTATCGCCATTTAAACAAAGAAGCCATAACAGTTAAATGAGCTCAAGAAATAGATTTCAGTATCACAAGGTGCCAGCTGTAAAGAGTTATGGCTAATTGAATATGGAACTCCTGCTTAATCAGATAACTGCTCTGCTATTTCCAAATGAAATGCCATTTCCATACTGTCTGAAAATGGCCCGTTTTATTGGTAACCAGAGAAAACAATATAAACTGTAAATAACATTAAGTGCTCTGTTTACCCATTCCAGGCACAGAAGTAGCAGGGGATCCAAGACGTCTTGGTAACGCATTTGATGATAGGGCTGGAGTAACAGTTCTTTCTGGGGGCCCACCAGGGGCTGAAGTGTCCTTTGTTGGACCAGGAGAAACTGGAACTTGTGGAGGAGGGCCCTGGCTAGACCTTACTGGTGTTGAAGATAGATTTCTTTGAGCTGCAGTTCGCTGACGAATCTCTGAGAAAAAGAATAAAAAGTATAAATCACATTTAATATCCAATATACTACATTAGCCAATACCACAAGTATTCTTTACATTTATTTTTGTGACTCCAAAATGATCTGTAGGGCCAAAACTGCTTTGTAATAAGAAATCTATAAAATATAACATTGAAAACTGACTAACAAAGTACTCCATTTCTGAACCTATGAAGTCAACTGCATATATTTACACAAGCCTTGATCTCAATCCATCTACTAATATCACTTTTCAAAATAAATTCAAGTAAAATAAAATCATCACCCATTGTGTTGTGTCTTTTACAGAGTAATCCTTCCTAATTTATAATAAAGGAAAGTTAAAAAAAAAAAAAAAAAAGAAGAAGAAGAAGAAAAGTTTATCAGAATTTAGTGAAAATTGCAAGTTTTTCAAGATAAAAACAATGGTAACTTGAAGAAATGAGTGAATAAATATATTCTGGTACTATCAAATAATTTATGAGTTAATTAATAGTCATAGAAATGTTGCAAAAGTACTCTTTACTATTAGGTGTCATGCCTATTCTCCTTTACACTACTGCTATTTTCTTAGTAAATTTCTTTTTGCCAATACATCCGATAAAAAAAAAAAAAAACTTCCTACTTAGCATAAATAATGTATCACTATAAAAAAATCTTATATTTAGTTGCAGAAATTAAAAGATTTCTGTAATGGGTTGGCAAATGTGCCATATCCAGACTGCTGCCTCTTTTTGTAGTTTTACTGAAACACAATAATGCTCTTTTGTTTACATATTGTCAGTAGCAGCTTTAAAGAGCTAAGTAGTTGTAACAGACCATATAGCTCTCAAAGCTGTCCTATCCTATATAATAAAAGGCTAAAATGCAAATTAGCTGAATAGTGCACCAACTGGTCTCTGTGATGAGCACTGACTACCAGGGACCAGGCGCTCAACACAGGAGCTGCCCCCTAGTGGTCAGTGCACTCCCACAGGGGGTGCACCACTCAGCCAGAAGCCAGGCTCACGGCTGGCTGGTGAGCACAGCAGTGGTGGCGGGAGCCTCTCACCTTTCTGCAGCAGCACTAAGGATGTCTGACTATCAGCTCAGGCCCACTGGAATGGGCCTAAGCTATCGTTTGGACATTCCCTGAGTGCTCCCAGACTGCGAGAGGGTGCAGGCCAGGCTGAGGGACCCCCCCTCAAGTACATGAATTTCATGCACTGGACCTCTCGATTATACTTACTATCTGGCCTTTTACACAAAGTTTTATGATCCCCCTAACTCAGTAGCATAAAATTCAATTCTATCCCCATTCCCACCAATATCTTACTTGAATGCTGATGGTAACATCTCAAGTAAAGAAGAACGTATAAATTTTTAATTCTACATATCACATTAAGTTGTTATAAATCTCAAATTAGGCTGAAACTTAAGAAGTTAAATTTTAATTGGCATTACTGGTAAAAATGCACACTCCCACAAGCAAAATACTTTAGATTTGGACTTTGACAGTTAAAGATTTTCATGAAAAGTTAATTGCAATCAAGAGTACAGCTCTAGCATCAAATTTCAGTTTACTACAATTAACTATACTAGTTAAGAACCTGGGCCCTCTGGTAATAAAGGTTTGGTTAGAATACTGGCTGTTATTACTTTTTCTCAGATGGATTCTTACCTCACAAAGTTATTATGAAGATTAAAAAAGATAATATTTGTAAATTAATAGCTCATACTTATTGGATTACATACTATTTCAGATAACAGTGTTTTCATGCAATTAACTATTTTCAAATGACCAGTTAACTATAATTATTGGAGTCAACTAATTTTACATTGATTCTTAATGTAGTCTCTAATCCAGCCCCTACAGTAATGAATTATAAGCATGTCATCATTATATAAATAAAACCATCTTTATATTTGGCTATTTTCCATGCAATTTACATAGAAAGTTTCAGATTTTACCTGAATTTACTGTATCCTAATATCTCCTGCAAATTATTTGATCACTTAATAATTACAAGAAATTCACAAGGAACACCTTAAAAGATAGTTACACATTAGGAAAGCCATTAAATGCTACAAAAGGTACTGAGATCAATAAACTCATATTAAGGTTTGTTCATTTAAATTAATTTTCAAAACAAGGCATCAAATATTATAAATTATTTTTAGCTAATTTTCAGATAAAAACACAACTTAAAAAATGACATTTCTTCCAGATAAAGTTTAACATTTATTATGTTACATTAAAAGTAGCTATTCACTTTTTCCTTCTTGGAGACCTAAGGCTGCTTCCTCTGAATGTGCATTTACCCTGTGAAAATTAACCAAAGCACATTTTTAATATCACTCATGTGCTACCAAAAGGTAAGGTTTATAACTAACTGGTAAGCAAAGAATGCCATGTTTCACACTCCTGCCGGCCTGGTTGCCCCACGCAGCCTGCTTGTTCAGTCATTTTATGGTCCCTCCCTGCCAACCTGGTCGCCCCACACAGCATGCTTGTTAAGTTGTTTGGTAGTCCCTCACTTAACCCCCCTGGCGGCCTGGTTGTAGGCAGCCATCTTGTGAGGGCATGAGGGTCAATTTGCATACCACCTCTTTATTATATAGGATACCCTCACTTTGTTATATAACCTTTCAGCTTCTACTGCCTCACTTGTATTCTACTTACTTTACTTTTTTGCAGTCTATGACAGCGGAAGCCTTCTCTACTATAACTGCTCATTGCTTCTGTCTTTTTCCTGGGCTCTTCTTTTTCCATTTATCCTTACACATTAATGTTCCCTGGAGTTCTGCCATAGATCCTCCTATTCTATTTTCTCATCCTAGGAAATTTTACTCAATCCCATGGTTTCAATAAGTATGTTGCCTATACTTCCCAATAATTCCTAATCTCCATCTACAACCTCAACCTTTTTCCTGAGCTCCATTGGAAATAATCAACTTCCTATAAACCACACCACTTGAATATAATTCCCAATCAATAGATCCAAAAGCAAATACATTATCTTTTACACAACCTACTACTCTAATTCTTATGTTCCTTATCTTGCTTAAAACATTAACATCTACTGGGGAGCTCGAAGATGGCGACCGAACAGACGGACTTGTTCTAACTCTGGTCCCAAGACACACAGGAGCAACGTCTGAGTCGCTCAGGGAGTGCTTGTTAGCAGCTAAGGGGCAACGGATCTGTCAAGGAGGGTAAGGAAGGGTCAGCTGGGCGGGATTTCCTGACCGGGCGGCCGGCGCTGCCGACTTCTCCCGGAGCTCCGGGCTCGGCGGGAAGGCCGCCTCGCCATACTGGAAAGGACGAGCATCTCCGGCCTGGAGGACCCACTGCGGAGGAGTCCATCGAACACCGGTGACGCCCCAAAGGGAGCAAACGCCCGGATTCAAGGTAGCTCTACAACTACCCACGGGAAGGTCAGAGTTTGCGGGGATTGCCTGAGGGTTCTGGCGGCACAGGCAGCGGCCCCGCCTCTATTGTAGCCCTGGAGCGCCGTGAGACCCCGCCCCCAGTGCAGCACCGGAGCGCCTCGGCCCCGCCTCTATTGTCAGCCGGAGCACCGCGAGGCCCCCCACCCAGTGCTGCGATGGAGCGCCTCGGCCCCGCCTGTAGCTCCGGAGCGCCGCAGCCCCGCCTCTATTGTAGCCCCGGAGCGCCGCGGCCCCGCCCCCAGTGCGCCCCGGAGCGCCACAGCAGCCCGCGCCAGAGCGGTGCCCAAAGAAGGCTGCAGCTAGAAACTTGTCTGGCGAAACCCAGTCCAGGGGTTGGCGTAACCATCCCCAGAAGCAGGTCTTTTTCTAAAACGCCAGGGGGACACGGACAGATTGTTAGGAATCGCGGCTGTCCCGCCAAGGGCGGAACACCTGGACACCTCTGATCCCCCTCACCCCCTTGCATCTGAATACTCGGGAAGGTCCGCCCAGTTGGGCATATCCGGGAAATTGCAGGGGGAAATTGCCTTCCCTGAAACAAGGGATCGGAGCCAAAAGAGATAGTTTGGGAACCAGATAGCACTCTGCCCGCTAGAGCCATAGAGAAAGAAGGCCAGAGCAACCTAAAGACTGGGAAATCAAACCCAGTAACACTGACACCTAAGGACTGAATTACAAACTGCCTTTTTTTTTTTTTTTTTTTTTTCTTTTTCTTTTTCTTTTAACTAATAAAAAATAAGTGGACACAAATAACTAAGATATAGCCTACCTAAAATTGAGGACTACTTTACAAAACTGAGGTGCAGTGGAATGCTGGGAACTGCAAGACTCTCTGGTCTGAGAATCAGGCGTGCCAAATACAATAACAGAAGGAGTGAATGATCACTACTGGACGTTTTTATGTTAATTTTACTATTCTTTATTTTATTGACATTTTTTACATCTCTTATTTAATCTTCATTTTTTACATCCTTACGTAAGAAACGATTTTTTTTCTTTTTTCCTTACTTGATTTTACCTTTTCAATTATTACTTTTTTTAATCTCTATCATCACTATTACTACTGCTAATTTGCAATTTTTTTTTCTCTCTCTTTCTTCTTCTCCTCTCCAGTACCATTTTATTTTTTCTTTATTTTACATTGGGAATAACCTTCATTCTATTTTAATCTCTGCTATAGAACCATTCAACCCTATCTCAACTCGACCTTTAAAACATCATTCTCTTACTAAACTTTAATCTTTTAATCTCAGGTTTATCCTATCACTTTCCGGCTTTAGTTTTTCCTCTATTCTTTCTGTATACCCTCTGCTAAAGCTCTCACTATACTTATAGACCTAAGTTCCAATCCCTGATCCAAGTATATAAATACCATTCTCTGCACTATATTAACTAGTTAAAAAAAAAAAAAAAAAACTGTTCTACTTTCTATACTTTTCTCATTGTTTATGTGAAGGTTGATTATTGTGAATTTTTATGCTTTTTAGTGAAACTGTTATGCTTATTCCTGTGTTATTATTGTTGCTCTGAATTTTTTAAAAATACTCTGTTTTTGTTTGTTTCTTTTA